AACTTTGAAGGTCCAGCAGGCTGCATCGATATCAGTGATGATGACGGTGTTTCCTTGTGTATGGAGGACTGTACATTGGCATTTCCTGCAATAGATCTCATGCAATACAGCAGCTCTATTATCCAAGCATTAACCCTAAACCCTGAATCCTCGACAGGATTATGCTTCATCTCCGAGTCCTGAACTCGATGGCACTGGACCCTCGGAAGCTCCAGAAGATGATCTGCCTGGTGATGGACCCTCAAAAGCCCCAGAAATCAATCTGCCTAGCGAAGCACCAGAAGCTGATCTGCATGGTGGACCCTCGGAAGCCCCAGAATCTGATCTGCCTGGTGATGGAGCTACGAAAGCCCCAGAATCTGATCTGCCTGGTGATGGAGCCTCGAAAGCCCCAGAAGCTGATCAGCCTGGTGATGGAGCTACGAAAGCCCCAGAATCTGATCTGCCTGGTGATGGAGCCTCAAAAGCCCCAGAAGCTGATCTGCCTGGTGATGGAGCCTCGAAAGCCGCTAATCCCTCTACTTCCTTGGAACCAGGTTGCCACGCGGAGCCAGAGGACCCTGCCGACTTCGACGTCATGAACTTTAAGGTGTCTTGTTCTAAAATTATCCCAGTCTTGTCCAGTTGGCCATTGCACTTGTATGTTCTATACCTGACCGAATCCCAGTCAGGGCAAGCCTTCCTACCTGGACCAGCACGGAGCTACGAAGGTTCGGGGTGATGATGGTGATGGTGACGATGGGGAGGCTAGCGAGTCTGGTAAATCCAAGCCTCGTGGCAGAGGCCGTGGTGGCCGTGGCGGCAAGGGCAAGGGTCGCGGTCGCGGCCGCGGCAAAGGCAACGCCTCAGGTGGCAAGACAGGTCGTGGTCGTGGGGGAAGAGGTCGTGGCTGCAGGGGCCGTGGTGGGGCCTCGGGCGAGGACCTAAAGACCCCTTCGCCAAAACCCAAAGCTGCTGTTCTTGAGGATTCTGAAGTTTTGGAGACTCCCCCTAAGGAAGCCAGAGCACCAAAGGGAGCCACAGCTAAAGCCAAAGCCAAGGCAGCAAACTGCAAAGCCCCGACAAGCAAAGCTTCCCCGAAGGCGTCAGCAAGCAAGGCAAAGGGATGCCAAGATTCCCCAAGCAAGGCATCCCCAAGCAAGGCATCCCCGAGCAAGGCATCCCCGAGCAAGGCATCCCCGAGCAAGGCATCCCCGAGCAAACCCAAGCCCAAGGGCAAAGCCAAGGCGAAATCCGGCCCGAAGGCCAAGGCAGCTCCAAAGATGCCTCCCCCAGACAAGGCTACTTCAGATGATGGTGCTAAGAAGCGAAAGCGCCATGCTGAGGAGGATAAAAGCTTTGCTAGACGTGCCAAACCGAAGATGACAGTCCCCTTGAACCACTGGACAGCCATTCGGGATGTCTTCCGGGCCGAGCTTGCAGACACTTGTGGCAGTGTGGAGCAGGACAGTTCTTAAGATCATGTGGCTGATGTGGTGCACATGTCTGTTCTAGATTGTGCATGTGCCCATTGCAATGTATTTTGCTGCTTCTGAACAGGATGCTTTCTGGGCTGTGGCCAAACCCATGATGCCAACGAGTGGTGATCCTCAGGCTTGTGTGAAAGCTGCTAAGCTAGCTGTACGTGAGTACCTGCGAAAGGCTCCGAAGGAGTCCTGATGTTTAATGGGCTGGTGCAAAGCACGATGATTAGCCACAGTGGTTTTTCTCATTGTGCTGGGGTTCTGCAATTACATTGCTGTGCTTACAATCTGCCATATCCTGATACCTGTGCTCGGGCGGGCAGACTGTGAGAGTAGCTGCTGCATGCAAGGGGCCAGTTCGCATCGCGATCATGAAAGCAGGCAACAGCTGAGCTTGAAAAGATGCATGCAGTTTAAGCCTGTGCTTTATAGCTGAAACTTCGCAGCTCAACCCCATATTGTACGAACCCACTATCTCGCCGAGGCTCGACGATGAAGCGTGGACAGGCCTTTCTGGCCCGCAGAGGTGTCGTGCCTGCCTTGGATGAAGGTGCAGCAGTCTCGCTTGCAGTCTTAAACAAAATAACGGACCCAACCCATACCCCTAAGCCCTAAACCAGGTACTAAAAAAAACTAAACCCCAAACCCTAAATAGCAGACTAAACCCTAACCCTAATCCCTATAATAGGTGCTAAAAAACAAACCCCAAACCCTAAATAACAGGTCCAATCCTAACCCTAAGCCCTTAAGGTGCTCAAAAAACTAAACCCCAAAGTGAAAATGATGATTCTAACCTCCTTAGTGCACTCGTGTCATGCCGGGTGTTATAATTTAATATATATTTATATTTTATTATTTTATATTCATATATATATATAATATCTAAATATAGATCAACACCTGGCATGACACCCGAAAGCCTTCTTCAAATCCGACAAGCCCACATGTGCACAGCACAATGAAGGAATCCTATGATGCCTGTAGGCATCATAGGATTCCTTCATTGTGCTGCACACATGTGCATATATAGAGTATATGTCCCTTTAACTTTTAGAAATCTATAATATAGATATATAGAAATTACGGAAACCCCTTCCCTAAACCCCATGCTAGTCTACCTAAACCCAGGATGCTCCGATTGTACTTTAATTCGCCCGAGCACACCCTTTATGGAACCCAAACCCTCAACCCTATACAAGCCCTTTGATGTGAAACCTTTTGAAGCAGTGACTGTGGCTGCCGTGTTTGGACGATCACCTCGAGGCACTCAAGTGCTCAGCTTGTGGACTTTCGATCGCTTTTGAACATTCGCTCGCAGTGACTGGAGTTGCACTCTTAATGCAAGCATTCACTGCATGCACAGCATCGATATAGCTGTAACGTATAGTGTTCGATCTGCTAGTGTTCGATCTGCTCAGCAATGATTGATGATGTGGCACTGGATGCTTGCATTCGCAAGCTCGCTGCCCTGAAGGTCCCCAAGGTCCCTTATATGCAGCCCAGCCCCAGCCCCCACCCAAAGGCAGCCCAGGCTTTCATCAGCGCGCCCCAATGCCCAGCCAGCCCAGGCATTCCTCAGCATCATCCTCCTGGTGTACTGGTTGGATCCGAAACCACCGTTCTGCAATGAGACATTTGATGTCATAGAGCTTTATGCAGGTCGGGCAAGGATCACCAGGATGGCTCGGGCTGCTGGGTATATGTGTGTTGCTTCGGACCAAGCATACGACCCGTCTGAGAGATCAGCCCTCCACCTGAATGAAAACTCCGGCTTTGCGCTCCTAGGCTACAATCTATACAGTGCATGGGTTCCGCTTTAGCAACATGTACTGTAAACTCGCACCACAGCCAAGGTTGGCGGTCCTGATGGTTCTCAGTGGCTCGCTGCAAGGTGCCCTCGCAATCCTCGGTGTCGAGTGCAGCACATTTGTCTTCATGAACCAGGGCCGCTCAAAGAGAACCGAGCTAAACCCTTGGGGGGATCCTGGTGTAGATTCTGTACACGATGCTAATCAAGCAACATCCAGGACAAGGTTTTCCTTCTGTGGTGCAGGCTACATTAGTTGCTTCAGGGATCGCACAGTGGCCTTTAAGCCTGGGGTTTCAGATTTTGTGGCTTTGGTATTCCCATGCTGTCACTTCCCAACACTTCTATATCTCTCTCTCTCTCTCTCTCTCTCTCTCTGTGTCTATTGCAGTGGTGCTTTTGAGCTTCGCCAAAACATGTGGCAATAACAGCCTTTCTGCCGACACATAGCTGCCACAGTTTAGGGTTTATTGGGGTGTATAGGGATTGGAGAATAAAACCCTAAACCCTGAACCCCCCCTAAACCCTATAAAACCCAAAAACCCTAAATTAAAAACACCTTTGCAGGACATGTCTCCTCTTGGTTCTATTGGCTGTGCTGGGCCACAACTTCATCGTGGAGAATCCAGGAAGCTCTGTGTTGGGCTACTTCCCTCGCTTTTCCTGGATGTGTTCGGTCTTGAAAGAATATGGGGTTCCTGCTGCTGGTCTTAAACTGTATATGCTTGTGCAATCGTGCAGTGCAAACACAGATGTTGGCTCAGGTTTATATCCAGAAGTTTTACATGTGCCACCATGGGCACATAAACCCGAAGAAGACTTTGCTATGGTCCACCACACCATATATCAGGGTATTCGACCTGGGACGGCCCAGAGGGGAGCAGCGGGTGGCAGGCAAGAAGCTGAGCAGAAAATACACGGATCATCTTGGAAGAAAGAAGGTGCAGGGGACCCAGGACCTGAAACCGAGCGGGCTCCTAGGCTTATATAGTTTCCACAACCCATAAAGATTCTCAAGTAACCCCAATAGCATCACTGATATATAATATATCCCACCTAAGGATCTACCCTCCACTGTTCTCCCGGAAGATCGTGGAAATGATCGAACCCTCCCGGGAGATGCGGCCGTCTGTGAAGGCGGGACACAACAACCTCAACCCCAACTACCTCAAGATCCCATCTGCTGCAGGTGGCCGACCAAAGCTCCGAGAAGCCGCTCCACGAGATCTTCGCTGAGCTGTCCTGGGATAGCACGGACTGGGATGAAGCAGCTCTCGGTGATGTTGTGCTATATTTAAGGCTTGCGAAGAATGTCAGGGTTCCCAAGGAGTACAAGCTTTTAATTGAAAAGCTACGCTTTCCTCGGGACCTTCCTTCCCTGCATCCGCACCAGGGCCCTGACCATGATTTGTAGATTCGAAGCAGATTCTGCTGTACTTACAAACCCCTGGCATCCTACCTCAGATCCTCTACAGGGGCTACGTAAGGGCTACGTAAGGGTTAGCATAGGGGTGGTTTTGATCCTTCTGGCCGCATTTTGTCACTTGCGGGGCTCTGGTGCGCAAATTCGGGCTCGCAAACAATAGCGGAAATGGGCGTCCAAATGCCGGAAATTGGCGTCCAAATGCCGGAAATTGGCGTCCAGTACTGACACACACGTTTTCATGGCCCTGAACACAGCCCTGGGATTGCCTGCTATAGGTGTTTTGTGGCCCGAAAGATGTTTTGAGATGGAGCCGGGTAGGTCAAGTAGCACTGTGGGCCAGTCCAGGGAAAGCCTGGTTAGGGGCGGCCAAATACTCCATGATGTTGCGACCCGAGGGGTCGTAAAGACAGAAGATGATGATGATGAGAGAGAAATCTTGAAACAAATCGAGGCCGGCTCTAAACCCTTAAGTTCCGAAATTCTCCAACAGAAGCACTCAAGAAAGCAATCTTCAGTTCAGGTTCTGAAGCAGAGGCATGCCCTCATCAAGGAAGCGAAGGCTTGGCATGGGTTCGATCGATCAAACTTATCAACATATTCGATCCTGTCTAAAATAAATAAAATATAATATATTGCATGATAATATTATGATATATAATATGATACTTTAAATATGTCATACAGGATCGAATATGTTGATAAGCTACAATTCCATAGTTGCACAATTGGTAAAATGCATGATCTTCCGGCACGATAGTATATGGGATTTTTGACTGAGTCCAATTAAGCTTTGTGTTGCATGTTAAGTATTGTATGTCGATCATGTTTTCGATGCGGCTTATAGCTCGCACAGGGTTTATGTTCAGTGGCATTCATGTACAAGTTTGCAGCTTAAGGGTTATATTTGTAATGCCTGATGTGTTTCGTTTTAGAAATTACAATGGGCTAAACCCAAAACCCTAAACCCAAATGCCCCTTAAGTCCAACGAGATGCCTTGCCAAGTTGAAGGTCCCACTTGTAAATCCCAATCTCAGATCCTTGTAAGCCTCACATATATACAGCCTAACCCGTATATATATTATACAATATATATATATATACAGAATATATTTCGAACACCTACATATAGGCACCGTTCAGAAAATATAACCCCTGTAGATCACTTAATGCCCCAGAGATGAAATGCAGCCCAACAGAGCACATCCGCAGCGCAGGAAGCAGCCACAGCTGTCGATGCCAGTGAAGACCAGAAAGGCTGGCTCTACCTGGGGACTTTCAGTCTAGATCTCTATACCATAAATGTAAAGCTATCTGTTCTACACCCTGTAAACCCTTAAACCCTAAACCCTAAATATGAATCGACTTATTAGATCTGAGGGATCTATAGATATACATGCACAAACAGGTGGTGCTGACGAAAAGACCGAGTCAGAGAGACTGGCAGAGGACAAGGAGCTGCAACGGCAGGCTAAGGAAAAGGCCGAGCTAGAGCGACAGGACCTGCAACGACAGGCCAAGGAAAAGGCCGAGCTAGAGCGACAGGAGCTGCAACGACAGGCAGAGGAAAAGGCCGAGCTAGAGCGACAGGAGCTGCAACGACAGGCACAGGAAAAGGCCGAGCTAGAGCGTCAGGAGCTGCAACGACAAGCACAGGAAAAGGCGGAGCGAGAGCAAAAAACGAAGGAACTGCAGGAGGAAGCCAAACGCCAGGCCCAGGAAAAGAAGGAGCTGGAGCTACGAGCCAAGGAACAGGAAGAAGCCGAACGACAGGCAAAGGAAAAGGAACTGCAGCGACAGGCAAAGGAAAAGGCAGAGCTACAGCAAAAAGCAAAGGAACAGGAGGAAGCGAAATGCCAGGCCAGGGAAAAGGAGCTGCAGCGACAAGTGATGGAAAAGGAGCGACAGGTTCAGGAGCTGCTGAAGGAAAGGATGGAGGCCGAACAAAAGACATTGGACAGGGAGCTGCAGCGACAGGCAAAGGAAAAGGCCGAGCTTGAACGAAAAGCAAAGGAACAGGAGGAAAGCGAACGCCAGGCGAAGGAAAAGGCCGAGCAAGAGCGACGAGCCAAGGAACAGGAGGAAGCCACACGACAGGCACACGAGGAAGCCAAACGACAGGCACAGGAGGAAGCCCAGCGACAGGCAAAGGAACAGGAGGAAGCCGCAAGACAGAAGCATGAGGAAGCCAAGCGACAAGCAGAGGAAAAGGCCGAGCTAGAGCAATTTAAGACATGGAGCAGAGAGGCACTCATGCAGGACATAGACACACAGCGTGCCAAGAAGGCTGACTTGGCAGCCAAGCAGGCCAAGCTGGCCGAACTCCAGAAGCAATTGGAGGATGTACTAGTGGAGACCGATGCACTGATGCAGTCCCAGCAAGCGCCGTTGATTCCAGGTGTTACTAAGCTGGAAACCCTGAGCCCCAGAGCCAACTCACTGACCCCAACGGAACCGCTGTCCCCACTGGCAACATCGAGCCAAGATGCTCAAGATCCTTGGCCTAGTCGCAGCCTGTTTCAGTCCCCAACACCACCACCCGCCCAGAAGTCAATGGCCACACCGTGTACCGCGACAAAGTCTCCCAGTATCTCCCTGCCTTCCTCAGGAAACCTGCAGCTGGCCATTCCCAAAGGCCAGCCACCAACCCCTGCAAAGGCACCTGCACCTGCAAACAAAGCCTCGCCGCCCCTGACCTCTGGTGCCATCACAAAGAGGCTTATGAGATGTATGGAACCGAATGCGAAGGGTCTCTACAAGGTGGCAAAGTGCATTCGCGATCAGTTCAATGCCGGTGGGGCATCCAAAGACAAAGTGCTAAAGCTTTTCGCTGCCTGCGACCACAAGCCGGACAGCCCTCCCCCTAAACCCTACATAAGTCGTGCATGCACCCTAAACTATAGAATCATCGATATATAAGATTAACTGAAATTACTCTTCCCTGAAAGGAGGTTTTCCTGAACAAGTTCTCCGTGGAGCGGGAGAAACACATCGAGCTGGAGACCGAGGTGGATTTCGAGTTCTTAACCAAGAAGGAGATGGCTGAAGATCAGAATATGACCCCGTTACTAAGCAGCAGTATAGCATGATCAGCAAAAACACATCAGTTGCAGAAGCTGAGGGCTGACATCGAAGAATGTGTTGCCCAAGCTGAGAGCGACCCCAAGCGCAAGATTCGGTTTCTTTACTGCAAAACTATACATGTAACCTATATTATATCTATCTATAGCTCTTTAGGGCAAGCAGCTGCAAATTTTGCTGTCCATCCGAGGAAGCACCCCTACAAGATCGGGCACCTCCGGTACTACTGCGAGATCAAGGTTAAAGGCCACAACAAGTGCCCCGATCTGTACCTATAGCACTGTACACGACATTCAACATGCATCCTACTTGAACTAAACTACTTTCACAAAACTATATTGCTGCCTGAGGAAGAGAGACAGTCTGACTATGACCGAGACGATGGAGGCTGAAGCCTTCGGGAGTGGCCTTGACATGGAAGTGGATTTGGAAGAGGCCCTGGAGCAGGGTGCCAGCTGCTCTTTTTGCAATTAAGTTGCTGCACAGAGTTATCGCATCTGCACCGCTGCACTTCTTGCCTCAGCTACTTAAGCATTCGAGGTTCTTTGCCGGAGTCGATGACAGATGCAGCCGACGGGGCTGTGAAATCGGGCCCTTTGAATGAAGATCTCAGCAAGCTCTTGAAGAAGCTAGGGTACCCGGATATCCATGATACTTCCAAGCCCTCGGCCCTAATCGAAAAGGCTATTCAGGCCTGCACCAGACGATCGACGAAACTGGCACAAATGCTGCCAGCACGTGAGCAACCAAAAAAAGAAGATGCAGCCGCCGCACAAGAGGGTCAAGGGGAAACTTCAGAGCTGCAAGAGAAGCCTTGTTCTCAGCATTCAGATGATATTGCAGTATATGTAAATTTCTCACGATGCTATATACCTTCATTGCTCAGGATGTATGCAAAGATCCGGGCTGTCTACAGTGCTGTGGACGCCTGTTGCGAGAAGCTACAGAAGCACAAGGCTGAGGGTGTGCTGGATGGCTACAACGAGAAGTTGCTAGACCGCCTATTAATTCCGAATCCAATTCCCACAATGGTGCCCTGAATAGCTGTATCTGGAATTATAATTACAAAAACCGGCCTATGTAATCATATGTACTGTCACATACATTGCAAAATCATACTGATTAATTAATCAGTATGATTTTGCAATGTATGTGACAGCACCTGGGGTACTCCGTAGATGCCGTAGATAAAGAGTTTCCAGGGTCTTGCAAGATGCCATAACCCTACCAGACCCAAACCCCTGATCCTCTAGACCCCGCATACAATTAAATAATCTATCCTGTATCTGAGGATGGAAAACGAAATCGATGTGGAGCTCGGTGTATGCCGCAGGCTGAACCGTGGCTGCACATAAGAAACCGCTACCTCGAATATCTCTGTTATGTGTTCGGTGCATCTTACGACGAGAATATATATTGCTCGACCTGAGGTTGATTGAATCTTCCGATCTGGAAACTCGCGCCAGGATTGCGAAGATAAACAGTAGCTATATAGTTCCCCCAAACAATGTCCAAAACCTCTCGCAGGACCATCCTTCCGACCATGAAGCCGCAGGCTGCGGGCAAGGCGCAACCAAAGGTGCCACCCAAAGCCAGAGTCAAGGCTCCAGCTGAGCCACCTAACAAGAGGGCCAAGAAGTGAGAGCTGCATCTGAAGGATCCTTGCTAGAGGGCACATGGGCTGGCTTGCTGCAATCCTAACTCACTTATGTTAATCGTCTTTTACTACATATCATGGGATGGGGATCTTGGTTTGGACAATTTGCTGCATCAGTCTTGAAACTGTCTTAAAGGAAGCAGGCGATTATAAAGCCCAATCTTGGCAGCAGCTGGATCTGGTCAGCCACATACAGTTGGAAAAAAATCGGTGCACTTTGAGTGTGATCGTCGATGCATTATTTGCTAGGGTTCATGCTTCCATCCCAATCAGCGGCATGGCAGGTGATCCACAGCCCAGCCACACTCTTCGTGTGCTGGCTGAGCGAGTGGCCGATGGAGTGCATGTCTCAGATCCCTGTACTACACAACCAATCTGAAGCCCAGCCGAGACCCCCTATGAAATCCTGAACATAACCCTCCTCTCCCAAGCCTGGTGTAAACCAAAGTTTAATCGATCCTTATAAATTATATAGTGTATATCACGCAAAGTGGAGTCCCAAAGCTCTATACATCCCAACAGATTAATTGATCGTATGGTAATCCAAACAAAACCCCCAGCGACCGAAATTAATTGATCAGCCCAATAACTTAAGTGCAATCCAAAACAATGTCTATAGCTGTCTGATACTTACTAAGTCCATCGTCATTATAAGTCTAGGCCCTGGACCCTGCACAAAGCTCATTCAAGGAAACCAGCACACAAATCATCATAGACCCTATATAGCTATATAAACCCTATTATAATGACAGATATAGAGTATACTTATGTTCAAGGGGTCGAAACCTTCAACATAAATAGTTTAGCTGATATATGTTCTGAATTTGGGAAACCCGACGAACTTCTTCCATCAAAGACTTCAAATGCACTAACTACCCAGGCGCCAGCTTGTGTGATCGGCGAGATTGCTGAAGCTGTAGTTGCTGATGGTAGTGCTACGCAGAACATACGGGAGGCCACGAAAGTTGACAAGAGCCATAGTGAACGCAATGCACACAGAATGTTCAATAGATACGGCTTGGCCCTCCGAGTTCCAATCTCGTATATGGACGTGCCGCAGAGTAGCAGCGAGGATAGTGTCACGGTCCCGTACTTGAAGATCACGGATTTCCTCAAGCATTTGCTTAACAAGTTCGAAGAAGTCTTGTTTGCAGGGCTGAAGGCGGATTCCGATGCTGCCCGAGATCTTTGTTCTACCTTTTGGAGCCGTTACCAGAGCTACCATGGGGACCATGTGATCTATAGCGAAGTGCCTGCTAAAGATAGATCCTTTTGTGTTCCACTTCTGGTACATGGTGACAAAGGCCGAACATTGCAGAAAAGCCCCATCTTCGTAATGAGCTTCGAGTTAGTTTGGGGAATGTCACCAAGCATGCTCAAGAAGGTTGCTTATGATTGTCGCAACACTCGGTATGACACCAAAGATGGGCACCTCCAGTGGCACTGTGGCCGCCGTGCTTCGGGAAAGCGAACTTTTAGGGACATGTGTTTCGACAGCTGCCCTCTTAGATCTGCTGGTCGTTTCAACCCCGAAACCAAAGGCAATCACCAGCGCCACAACAATCGTGGGCACAGTTTCTTGAGCCGCTTCCTGATTGGAGCAATCCCTTCCAAGCTCTACAGACGAAATGCAGAAGTGCTTCCGTGCTTGTTGAAGCAAGCCGCTGAGGATCTCAAAGGCTGTTTCCAGGAGGGTCTGCTCCACGAGAAATCTGGGATGCGGTTCCGGTTTGTGTTCATCGGAGCAAAGGGCGATGCTGAGTGGCATTTTGATGCAGGGAACTTCACTCGGTCATATCATCGAACCGGACCCGTGAATGCTGCTCCGATTTGCCCGCTCTGTGAAGCTGGCACCGAAGGTGTAAGCTACACAGATGTCTCTGATGCGCCCGAGTGGCTGGCGAGTATGGGAACATCGGTGCCATGGGACACGACACCCCCTCTAAACCTGGCCCCTTTCTCTACAACCTTCCCAGCTAACCTCTACAAGTTCGACCCCTTCCATGTGTTGAAGTTCGGTATATTTCGTGATGCTGTTGCCAGCACGATCGTCAGATTGGCACTGATGGGCTACTTTGACTTGTCTGCTGAGGACTACAAGAACATAACTGATCGTCTCGCTAGGGCATATTCACTCTACAAGTTGTGGTGCCTGGCTGCAAACAAGAACCCTTCGTTGAAAGGCTTCACGAAAGCGAATTTCAACTTTGAAAAGATGTCTAAGTTTGCATGGGTGAACGCTAAAGGAAGTGAAGTCACGATGCTCATGCAATGGTTAGACTTCCTTGTGCCAAGCTTTGCAGCTGAACCGAAGCAGGCAAGCGATCTTGTGTTCTTGCGAGCAGCATCCCAAATGATTCGTGGGGGTTTGGATTATATCGGGGTGATGCATAGTCATGGCATTTGGCTCCCATTGAACTGCGGCAAGGTTCAGCTACAAGGGGGCTTGGTCTTCGCTCGAGGGTACGCCTTCTTAGCACAGCGCTGTATGGAGCAGGGTTGCACTGGGTACAATCTGCGGCCAAAACTTCATTACATGATGCACCTACTCGTACACCTCAAAGCCCAGATTGACAACAATGCTCCATGGGTGCTCAATGAAGCACTACACCTTTGCGAAAACAATGAAGACTTTATAGGGAAATTGTCGAGGGTAAGTAGACGGGTTCATGCTTCCCAAGCTGCGCTCCGAACAACGCAAAGGTACCTTGTGAAGGTACGTATACTTCTTGAAAGGCTCCTTAAGTAGATTCCCTATATACTAAGACTTTAGGGTCTTTAGGGGTTTAAGTTTGGTTTTTTCGAATATTTCAACAGGGTTTTATGGTGTAGGTAGCTGTCAACAGGGGTCTAGGGTTTAGGTTTTGAGGGTATCGCAAAAGGGGTTTAGGGTATAGCTTTAAACAGGTCTGCATTGAGGAGCCTTGGCACCAACCTTGTTTCGAGCATGCTGTCAAGAAGCGAGAAAGCAAGTCGCATGATTGCATTTTTTCGGAGAGGGAGCATTCCAAAGATTACGTTTCTTCCGAGAGGGAGCATTTGG